CCGAGGAAATAACGATGATTGTCTGTTATAGATTGTTATGATTGTGGAGTCAGCTAGAGAGAGAGGAGAGATGAGCTTCCCATGAATGTCCACAGGGTTATCCTCAGCAAAGCCAAACGCCAACAGGTAGGGCAAGAAGGTGGCTTTGCGCTGCTGGTCAGCAATGAGGCAGTTGGAAATGGTGAACAAACTGTCTTAGTAGATATTACTTTTCTACTAGGATCTTCCATTTAGGTTCCTGGTGTTTCCCCGTTTTTTTGCTATTTTTTAGCATAACTCCCAGTGACCACAAAATGGAGTCATTGATTTTTACTACTGTTTTAGTAAATATTATACCATTCATCGTCATGTTCTTGTAACTTTATTCCTGTAAATTCCTAAACGACAAACAAGCCTGAATACATTTTTTACCAAAATGTTTGCCTTCCTATCCGATGCTTTCTGCTCCCCATTGCACATCTTCAGCAGCCATCATATCAAGCCAAACAAAAATTTGGGCATTAAAGAGTGTATTGGTAGAATCAGTAGTAAACTGCCAACTGCAAAATTATATCAATACTTTGATTGTAAAAATACTCTCCCTCATAGATTTTACTGTCAGAAATGTGAACTCCTACACGTTCAGAAACAACAAAGCCAATAGCCAGAAATTGTGTTTACACATTTTTTGTGATAATACATTGCTCAGGAAGATTCCCAGGTTCCTGTGATTGTTCCAGAGAGAGATGCTCTTTGATAATATACCAAGTGACTGTCCACGATAATTACTGTATTTCCTGGTTGACAGAGGGTTAGGGAAAGTGCTAATGGACTCACAATAGCTTTTTGTCTGTCACATACTGGAACATTTGTTTAATTAGTTAACATGGCAGAATGTAGACACCAATAGAAAGTGATCAGATGATAAAGAGAGAGCATTGATAAGAGGAAAATGTCATTTTCAGAGCGAGGGAATCAATCTTACAATTCATGGTGGTTTTCCTTGCCTATGTTATAAGCATGTATTCTTATACATTTTCTTTTTTTAAATGGCATTATTTTGACAGTAGAGCTGTCACTGATGCCTATAATTTGTTTACACTCACATCTAAAAGATAAAACACCTTGTAAGAAAATTACATCCTTTTTTTTTTGCTCACACTTGCTCTCTTCCTTTGGTGACATTGATGACAGAGTCATGAAAGGCCAGGGAAAAAAAAAAACTACCTCTGCAGATATAAAAGCACTGAAAGCAGTGTTTTAGTTACCATGGTGACAGGCAAAGGGAAAAACACTGCTCATACCTTGTGTTGTTACAGTGTGCAATGAACTGAAAACGAAAGAGCCTTATGAAAGCATGCACGGAGCCTTGTCACAACTAAAGCGTAGACCAGGGGTGTCAAACTCCAAAACACAGAGGGCCAAAATCTCAAACCTGAACAAAGCCGCGGGCCAAGATTGAACAAACAAACCTTTTAATGTGGAATAAAACTAATTTCGCTTTAACATTGAATATGGAACAAGCAACTTTTATTACGTTATATATAACTTAATAGTGGAGACATGCAAAATCAAATTTCTAATAAAAAACACATCAATGGCATTAATTTATGAACTAAAATTTTAAAAATTTTTTCTATTCACAGCCTTCTGAATTAGATATCAAAATTAAATTTGCTTGTGCAGAAGGCTCCTGTTTCCTGCCTTTCTTTTGGTCATTTTTTGGTCATTAGCACAGTGACAGCTGTAGTGTGTACCTACTGTCACAGAGGAGTTTCTGGGTCCTGTCCTGAACAACAGCAGGGCATTATGGGAGTTGTAGTATGAGCGGTTAATGCACTGTACAGTATAAAGCTTATGCTTCATCCTACTCCTTTTTGAAACATGATGCATGTTTATGAAGCATTTATGTAAACATTGTTAAATCATATCATGTTTCAAAATAAATTAAATGAAAAATTAAATGAAATGAAATCATTTGATATTGTCTCGCGGGCCAAATATAATTACAACGCGGGCCAAATCTGGCCCTCGGGCCAGAGTTTGACACCCCTGGCGCCGTAGACAGTCCCGTTACTTGTGTTTGTCATCAACAGAAGCTGACCTATCATCCCTAACCTTGTTCTGAGTAGTGGTACTAGGGTTGGTCAACTCGATGGTCTTTTCTCATTTAAATTCCTGTATGCGCTGATCTTTCTGGACCTCCGTTGTAGATCATTATGTGGTAGATGGATCCTGTTCGTCCGTTAAAATGACATCAGTGTCGTTGCAATCCTCCAGCTGTGTTTGAATTCAGCCCGACTTGGTGTCAGGAGTTGGGGTTTTTGTTAGATTCTTATCGATTTTGCTTTTGGGTTTTGTTTCCTTTGAGTTCTCTTGTAATTTTATTTATTCCTGTTATTTGAGTTTAGTCTTGTACATGGTATTTGTTTTTAAGTTCGTAGTTCATCTTCCCATGTTCTTAAATTGTTCCTTGGTCATAGTTTCAGTTCCCTTTTCTCTCTTTGAGTACTGTAGTTCCTTTAGTCTTCTGCTGGTTTCCTATGCCTTATGTCTAGTTTGGTAACTCTGCTTTACTGTGGTGTTCTATCATATTTCCTTTATAAGACTTATAACTGCTCCTCTTTTTTCCTTAGTACTTATCCATCCCAGGAATTAACTTACCTCTTATCTACTGTGCTCCCTGTCCCCACCTACTTGTCAGTCAGTAATCACAACCCCTCAAGATAAGCTTTTCCGGTTCATTCTTCTTGTGCCAGTTCCTTGCTATATATTTATATGTGTTGTTTTTCATTTGGTCATCTCACACCTGCTCCTCTACCATCATCTTCTTCTATATTTTCCGTCCAGAGTCTTTATGTTTTTTTCCCTTTTCAGGTTTACTTCTTGATATCGGGTTTATGATTTTGGTTTCTCAAGTTTAGGTTTAGATTTTTATTCGGCACTGCTGTGCTTTTTGTTGCATTTGCATAATAAAAGTTATTCCGGAACTCCTCACATCCCCTGTTTTTTTCTGGCCTTGCTTATGGATTCATCCCACTAAGGCAGTGTACTTGACAGCTGCAGATTAGTTCCAGTGATGGTATCGATGCTTTGTTTTTCCTATTATTCTATTTAATTGAATCCAGTTATATCAGTAATATGCTATTTCATAGCAAACAGAAATACGTATGTGTCAAAAGTGAACATTTCCAAATTCAGTTTTTCTTTTAATTTTTTTTACCTTGTCCTGTTCAGCATTATAACAGCAGAATTGCACTATGAGTGCCACATTTGCTTTTCCCTTTTCCAAGCTAGAAACCTCAATTTTTTCCAAGTTAATTTCTTTATTCATTTACATAATGTATTGTAGATTCATATAGTCAAGTCTTCAATGTAGTACTTTTCATTTTAAAAGTAAAATCTTTGTAAATAGATTTGTTGTAGTTATAAAACATAGATTTTAAACATTTTTTTATATTTATCTTTTTTTTTTCTAGCTGAATTTTCACGTTGGAGGGAAAATTAAAATAATCTAAATTGTGTTAGTTGTAATTAATATTTTTGTGAAGCATTGGAAATATGCTTTTGGTTCCAGGTAAATCCTGACTTCATACTTGTCGAGAAACATATGAAACATAAAAGGCTTAGTGGAGATAATATTAATAAATTTATTAACAAGCAATTTATACTTTTTGAAATCTCTATTTTGGAATGAATATGAAATAAGGTTATTTTTATGCTGCAGTGAACATGGTGTAGACCTGACTTCATACTTAGTGAAATCATTACATTCAAGATAAGTCTGTTTTGATTCTGACTTGTCAAATGTATGATATACCACAAAGTTGCTTTTTACTATGCCAACAACTTTTTGTTTTTTCCTTTTGTCTTTTTGGTGCACACTTTGAACATTTAAATTCCCAGTAATCCATTACAGATGTTACCAATCTTTAAAGTTTTGTCATTTGGTTGTTTGGAGCTGTAGACCATAGGGACATGCTGCAAGGTCTAGAGCTAACAAAGACAGGTGATGCATGGAGTACACATATATGGGAAGGGGCAGCAAAAGTAGGAAGGGTAGAGAGTAGGCATGGCAAGATTCACCGATGCGTATCGGAACATCGGAACGACCTGTGCGATACGGTTGCATCGATTTGCAAACGTCTGTATCGGTAAAAACCGCACATAAACTCGAGATGCATCGTATAAAACTACCTGCATCGATACAAACCGATTATTATCTTCTATTATTATAACTTTTTAGAAACGTGTCTTTGAGTTTTAGTCGCGTTTCTTTCCATCCCTGTTTCCATTCAGAGAGACAATCACTCTCTAAGTTGCACTTCCTTTGTTTCAAAATAAAAGGCACAGTTAGCTTGCGTGCCATAACTTGAACTATGTAGTCCATGGTGTACTTTTCTTCTGCATTGCATCGCATCGTATTGTATCGTATCGCACTGTATCGCAGCATTTTAAATTTAGATCGTTCTGTATCGCACCGGATCGCAGGAGGTTGGAGAATCGTATCGAATCTTATCACTAGAAATTCCATGAATCGTGAATGTATCGAATCGTTGTGTGTATGCTTGCTGTGTATCGAGATGTGTATCGTATCGCCTTGGTGGTGAAGATTCCCATCCCTAGTAGAGAGGAAAAGTAGGAGCAGAGTAGCTGTGGAGTAGGTAGGAAATGGTATAGAAAAAGACTCGAGTAATCTCCCCAGCTGTTTGCCTGAACAAAGGGGATGTGCCAGCTCTTTGGCTGTCTTTTTGTGTCCATCTATCAGCATCTCTTATCTTTCTGACAAAGCGCGTGGGGTCCTGAAAGCTCAGCCTGGGACCAAAGCCAGCCTGCTGGGCCTAAGAGAAGCACCGAGTCATTGATATGTGGGGATTATCTCCTATTATGGTCATGCTTCACTTTACACTCATCCCACCTCTCTTCACAGGACTGCTACCGCTGCACACCACACACACACAAACACACTTCGCTCATGTGCCAAGACAGCGTGTTTTCAGGATTGTATGAATGAAAAATGAATGAAAAGCACGTCTCACATATCAGAAACCCATTCAGATAGGCCTTGGCAGAAGGTAAAAGGCGCCAAGCGCTATAGAGACTCATCCCTCCACTTTTTTTTTGTCCGACAGGAGGAGCCCTACGTGATGTTCAAAAAGTCGGACAAGCCCCTGTACGGGAATGACCGGTTTGAAGGCTACTGCATAGACCTGGTCAGAGAGCTGGCCAACATTCTGGGCTTCACGTATGACGTCCGGCTGGTGGAGGATGGAAAGTACGGTGCACAAGACGAGAACACCGGCCAGTGGAATGGCATGGTCAAAGAGCTAATGGACCATGTGAGTCTGTACATCCAAAATAACCGATTATGATACTGTATTCACAGCAACCATAAAGTGTTTTAGGGGGGAAACATCCAAGTTTAACATTTAATTTAAACATTTTAAGAACTTAAACATGTAACACGAAGTGAAAAACGACAATAAAAGATACATTTTAATGCGAGTAATGAAAAAAACATGCATATTTTCCAATGTTATAGCAAATGTCTGTTTCATAGAGAACTTGAATTTGAAAATATTAAACTTTTGCATGTGTGCGAATAGGGTAGAATCATAAATATTCAGGCAAAAACCTATTTTAAGTCTTGTCCAAGTTTTTTTCTGTGCTAACAAATGAAAAAACAAACTTCTTTATCAAGTCTACCATTTCAGTTTGATTTATTTCTCAAATACATAGTCAATAGATTGGGTTTACTTAAAGATTGATACATTGAGGACAAACTCATCATTTTGGTTGGATAAAATAACTATATTCATGACGATAACAGTAGCTAATTGATACTTTTGGCATGATCATATATTTATAACATAAGCGTTAATTGTCAATAGAATAATGCGTTGCTAAGATTTTGGCAGAATTGTAAAATGCTGATTACTCATCCCTGCTGAATTTCATAGAATTTTATTTGCTGTCTTATCAAATACCCCTGTACAAACAAATTTAACAAAGTTTGACAATTGTGAAATGTTTAGCACACAATACAAAACATGAGATGACATATTTCTTCCTAAATAGAAACTGATAATATCATAGATGTGGATAATAGAGTTGGCCATGATTTGAGTTTTGAAAAAATGAAGATAAAAAATTATCAGATTTATTTACACACAAATTAACAAAATTAACACAAATTTAACATCAAAGTAGGTCATTTTCTGTGTTTTGTGACAGTATTTCCTCTTTTCCAGGGCAATAAAAGGAACTTTGAAATATTTCTATGAAATTTCAGATTTCAAATTGATCTTTGTGCTTTACATAGTTTTAATAATGCACAAATACAAGGTGGCTGATGTTTTTATGCCCATACCTTTAATATTTTGAAACGAACCTAGCATCAATTGATTCAAGGAAATGTCATTAGTTAAAAATTGTGCAGCGGGTAGAAATTAAATGGTGTTAATTTCATTTAACCATGTCAACAGAGATAAAAAATTCTAGCAGGCAGTTGTCTCTTTTAGAACCCTGATGCCCAACTTTTAATTTAAGCATATTGTTGAAAATATATTTTTCAACATCTGACATTAACTGTGATTCTCCTCTTGGTCAGTATAATATTTGCTTTACAGTGAAAATACCAGTACTGTCAGACCATTATAATGCTTAATAATGACATATTAGGCATATTAGGCAAGTACATATTTGTGTTTATAGACTAAAACCTTAAACATTCCATGGTAACTGTCAATGTTATCAGGTAATTGGTCTAAAATGTGTTGGTTGATGCAAATGTGTAATATTATCAAGATTACCCACTTATTACTAATCTATGAAATGATGTTTTATGTCACTTCAAGCAATAAGTGATGTTTTGACATAGCGGGGAATTTTCATTATCTCAACAATAACTCATTAGTTAGTTAGTAATATATTAAAGTAAAGTACTTATAAATGTATAATTTTTTTGTTATACTTAAAGAGCATAGTATATTAACCATCCTTTTCTTTTTCGAATTTTATGATGATGCTTTCAAACGAAACAAAAAAACAAAAAAGAAAAATCAGGGGAGAATCCATTTTGAATCCATCACTAGCTCCATGTTTGACCAAGAGTGAGATTTAACAAGGAGGAGCAGCCCACAGAGACGAGCAGCAGCTAAGGGGACACAAACGAGAAAAAACAGGGTGGTAACAAGTAGCACAATTTGGGAGTACAGTGAAGCGAGGAGAGCGTGGCTTCTGTTGTGAGTTGTTTCCCCCACAGAGCTTATTAAAACACACAAGCGCACAATCTGCTCACAGCATAGATCATTACGACGAACAATGTCCCAGTTAGGGTAAACTGCACGGGCTGAAAAATAGCAGGCGCTTGCAGAGCCGATTGTCAATATCTGACCTCATTAGGAACTCTACCCGCGAGGGGTCAATTCTCTCTTAACTCCTTCACACTTGTGCTCTGCTTCTGTTCTTGATCAGAGACGCGATTGGCTGTTGTGGCAGATTGTCTCGTTTTTGTGAGGGTGAAAGGGGGCCCGGTCCCCCGTGAGGTTTATTCAGCGTAGGCCTGGCCCACTTCGTGCTCCTGACTTAGACGGATGGCGATTGCAGCAGACAATACCTCAGAAGACTGGGGAAACGTGCACTTAGAGCAAAGATGCTCAGTTACTATAGAAAGGCTGAATGGGAGAGAAGTTACTTTAAAGGGCCATGTCAAAAAAAATTAGATTAAACTTATAGTTTAGTCACATGGTATCCTCATCTATATTTACACAGCATGCTTTCATTTAGGCAATGTTAAAAGTCATGTTAGAATATATTATTTTAATACATAATATCCGTTTTGAACATAAATGTAATACAAATCTGAATCAAAATTGTTCTGAAAATGTAGAATCTTTACCTTCAAGTGTTTCCTGTAAAGCATAACTCTTTGTTTTAAAGATAGTAAGCAAAAAAAAGATTTTAAAAACCCTTTGATTTAGGCTGCAGAGAGAAAGAGGTGAATTGAATAGTTGGAGCAGACTTGACGGGTGGAAAGAAAAAGAGGGCTTTAAATTTCTTGCTAAGTGCCTTTGGACAGACTCTGCCGTGTGTAAAGATCCTGTTTTCTTAATTTGATTGCCTCTAAATGCTTTCCTGTACCTGTAACTTAAAGCCCATCCCTCTTCCCTTTTATGTTTGCTGTTGACAGAGAGCTGATCTGGCAGTGGCTCCTCTCGCCATCACATACGTGCGCGAGAAGGTTATCGACTTTTCTAAGCCCTTCATGACGCTGGGTATAAGTATACTGTACCGCAAGCCCAACGGGACCAACCCTGGGGTCTTCTCCTTCCTCAACCCCCTCTCACCTGATATCTGGATGTATATTCTGCTGGCTTACTTGGGTGTCAGTTGTGTGCTGTTTGTCATAGCCAGGTAACATATCATTTTAAGTGATTGCCGATCTACAGTACACAGCCTATAACATGCCTAGCTACTGTACCTTTTTTAATTTAGCATAAAAATAAATTAAGTATTACAGGATACTGAAAACTCTAACAGATATTGTTAATCGTCACTGTAAAATGTGTTTAATATTGCCTAAACATGAAGGGATACCACTCTAGCATTAGACTTTCACAAAGAATTCCTTGTTGTTAAGAGAATATCTTGGTTCACAGTGGCACTCTAGGGCTATCTCAACCTGATTGCACTTATTTCAGTGTCTTTTAAGAAGACTTGGTAAAGTCCGACATACCCAGGTACGCAGACCATGGACACAGATGTCGTAGGCTCTTTCGACCACTTTAATGTTCTACGTATGTGTGGAAAAAAGCTGCAGAGAGGTTGTGCGCTCTTATGGTGTTTGCGTGCGTCAGTGTGTGAGGATGTGTCCAGCACCTCTCCTGCCTCTCCTCACTGTCCCCGGTGTCTCAGAGCTCATGCTGTCTCTTATTCTCTCTCGTTTCCTTCACCCTGCGTCAAATGCGGATGTAGCCTCGGAGTAATGCCGGCTTTCCTTTTTTTTCTGCTGATGTGGCTTCACGGTCTCCACTCCCCATCCATATTAGTCTGTTTCAAACTGTCATGTCACCAGACCAGCCACATTATCGCAAAAATATAGTTTAAAACACAATAAGAATCGTTGAGGTCTTTCCGTCATGATGATAAATAACTGTGGGCTTTTGCTTTTTACTTTTTCTGATGTTAGAAATGTTACACGATGGATCTATATCTATCTATACACACTGTTTTGCTATGGTATAAAAAATGTAAGTGTAGCATCCCATAAAACATTAAATTTCTTCCATTTCAAATTGTTTAAATATAAGATTATTCCCAGAAGAGGTGAAAATTCAGTCGAAAAGAGAAATCAAAACTGCACTGTGCTTTGTCAAAAAGAAGGAAGGGAAGGGAGAAACCAAAAATTCAATTTGATATTTAGAAATAAGTTTAGTAACTGAGCTCTGTTTGCATTAGCATAACTGAGTTGGATCCATCTAAAAACTGTTAGCTAAAAACACTGCAACTTTGGAGTTTTTCAATAAGACTTTTAGAAGTAGCATCTTGCACCGAAAATTAATTTATGTTTTCTATCTAGTCGTTTCTTTTCTTTATTTCCTTTTTGAATCATGGTGAAGAAAAGAAAGAGAAAGAAAAAGTTCTTGTTAAGTCTAAAACTTTTGGGACACTGGGGCTCTCTTTCAGCCTCTCCCCAACAGTTTTATGGTTAACACACGCCTTTTCCCATGTTACTGGCGTTATGATCACACGAGGACTAAAAAGCAGCAACTGTCATCTAAGTTGGCTCAGAATATGCACCAATCCAATTAGTATCACAATAAGTAAGTGTTTGGGTAAGTGTACAAATCCCCCCCTCACTCTATACCTTCTCTGCAAATGCCTGCCAAGCATGCTGAGTTGCATGTTTTTATATGTAGGTTGTGGCAACTAAACGTCTCACAAATTTTCATGAAATGAGATTTTACAAAACTCATACAGTATGTTTTGAACAGAATATTTAGGAATTGATTCCCCTCCACCACAATAGACAAATCTGTGTTTCATTGTTTGCGATTCATGTCTTCTGCACAATAAAAAAAGGAAGTAGCGGTAGTTGGATTATATTCATAGTCTTTTCTACAGACACTCAACCTGGACCAAAGAAGGTTTTGCATCAAGATAATTACCATTTGAGTGCTTTTTATAAAACATTTTAATTTCACATAAGAATTTCTTGAAGATCTTATTAAAAAAAAAACGTGTGTTCTACTGTATATGGCTCACTTTACCCTTTGATGTTGGACAGTTAAATTCTTTTAACTTTTTATTTTCATTGTGTTTGTATGCTAAAGACACATTCTCATTTCAAAAAAGTTTGTAAGATGGACTGAACAGACTAAATATCAATGCAACAATCAGGAGTTTGGCAACATATACACACGGTTGTATATGTGTCCACACATCACACATTTTTATCTATGTGTGCTTGTGTTTGTGCTATAGTGTGCGACTGTTTTGTTTGTCTGAGAGAGAGAATGCCAGGAACTGACCACTGTTGCACAGCGCGGAAGATAGATCAGCTCTCCTTTTGTCTGTTTGTAGGCCTGTTCCACATGGATGCAGAACTGAGTCATTACGCGGTTGCGCTGCCAACTCTGTGATATCCCCCTTACTGTTCTCAATCTAACTGCTGTTTATTGTTGTGGAGCTCTGCAGTTAGCTATCCTGATAAAGATACGTAACACCTTTTTTTTTTTGTAACACCTTTTCTAAATCCTGTGGATTTTCCACCTTTGAAGAAAATCTTCCATCAATTTTCTTTCAAAATAAGAGGAAAGCAAAACTAACTGACCAACTGAACATTTATGCTGAATATTATTTGTCCATCTTCAAATTTGATAATTATGAGTCTTGAATAAGGCATGCTTTCTTCAGTTAGTAGAAAGAAGCTGTCTGTGTTACTCTAGCTAATTTTTGCTCGAATTTAGAGAACAGCCTTCGTTACAATGCTTTTCTGAATCTCAACTTTTTGTCGAACACCAACATAACAAAATGCAATATAACATGTATAACACATTTTCAGTAGTGTGCATTTGCATAAAAAACGATTGATACAAATTTATTGTTTTACTGACGGCAGTCGATGAACAGAACAGACTTCCCAGACTTAATGCCTACTTTTTTTATTTTGTTTTGTTTGCTCCTGTAGATAGGAGAAATTAAATTTGAATTTTCCTGCTCGATATCACTCTATTTTATACATTGGCCCTTTAACAATAACTATCAGCAAAAAAAACTGATAATAAAAAATAACTTCTGCACACCGTTTTAATCATTATAGCGTTATTGCTGTCAAGGTCCATTAACAATTGAAAATCCAACTCCCTTCTCAGTAGAGTTACCGGAAAGCACTTCTTAAATTCAAAAGCAATGTGAAGATAAGATTAACTTTGTTGGTATGTAGTGTATCACAGAGGAAAGTTGGATCAGCCAGCAAAGAAAAAGCTAAAGAGAAATGACATGAAACAAGTTGAATAGGTGGATACAAAGGAAGCAAACATACGTCACAGTGCTGAGGCAGAGGAAATAAATGCCAACCCTCCAAAGTTCTTACTTCGATGTTAAATAAGTACACACCTGCTTTAGAGAAGGGTCATGTGGTGAAAGACTTTCAGACATTTATTTTGATATACCGCCGCCAATAATTGAAACTATGTTTGATGGCGCACTGGAAGCAGACAAGTCAATAAATTCTCTGCACTACAGAATTTATAACATTGGTTAAAAGCCCAGGTGTAGACATTTAAAGTCTATTATACTGTGGCAGAGCCATTCTGAGTGTTGATTCATCCCATTGACATTGGCATTATCACTTATATCATCTGTGGGGGTTTTTTTGCCGGTGACCCTGTCCGCTTTGTAAGATAAAAAGCCTCATGTTCTTTCTTAGCTGCAGGTGGATTCCTCTTTTTTTATTTTTTTATTTTTTGTTTCTGCTTATCTCTGCTCTGACCTTGCTTAAGGTTTCTCCTTTCCGGCAGAGATGACCTGAGATAACGTAAGGTAGTGTAATTGGATCAAAACCACGGCAAACAGGCTGAGCTGGGATTTTTGATGGAGACAAGCTGCATTGTCTCCTGTAAATCGCATCAGTTAAGCGTTTCCAGACCTAATCAGCAGCCAAACAGCAGACAGCCCCTCCCGTGATCCAGAAACTTACCGACGACAACTTCACTCATCAATGTTGAGTGAATTAAGCACACTCAGCGATATAGTCGCACACACCGGAACAAGGTCGCAGTTCAGCCGAGTTCAATGTGGCATTGGAAATATACCAGCAAGCAAATCTGAGCTAAATTGAGTGAGAGGACAGATTGATTTAAGGCCAAGGATTCTCTTAAAGCAGAAATCAGTGAGACATTCAAAGGTCCTTGAGCTACACAACACAATATCCTAATGAGTGTTGTAAGGGTGAAAAGTAACACACTTCGCAAACCACATTATAATTCTGAAGCACATTAGTCAATGACAAGGTGCGGTTTAGATATTGTAATTGTATCCATACATCTTGATGTAATCTTTTAATATAGCATTCAAGATGGTGGAACTGCAGTTTGCATAGAGGGCAAGGATAAAAAAGCATGCATTCAGGATTTCATCTTCATTATTCTTCATAAAGGTGTTAATTCCTTTTGAATTTCTATATTTCAACTTCTAGGGCAGTAAAAAGGTCTATATTAAGTCAAGTCTACATTATGCGATGCAGTTTGTTTTTAGTCAAACCTTAATGTCTGGAAAACAGCTTGAGTAAAGATATAGACCTGTCTGGCCCAAACCAAATCAGGTCAGTGTGCATAATTGTGGACCAATCAACCTTTACTAATGTCATGCCACTTTTATTTAACATGAATAAATGAGAAATCTCTTTGTTGGAGGACTGTGTTGAGTAAGAAAGAGCGCCAGGTTCAGCGCGGGCATGATGGGAATGAACTATTTGATATGATGAATATTAATGTTCATCCAAGATTATAAGGACTCGTAGTTCTTTTTTTTTTCCAATGTGGAGTTATTTTCAGAACCCACTGATTAAATTACAAAGGAAATTATTATAGATATGAGCACGTCCACACAAGCAGTACTAATTTAAAGCTACTCCCAAATCATTTTACGTAATAAGAGCTGAAAAATTCAGAAGACAGTTTTTTATGGCCGTCGGATGGTGCAAGAAGCTGTGAACATGAATTTATTTGCCATTGGTAAAGAGGCGTCTCTTTATGACTAACTAACCTTTGTTTTTTTCCCCCACTGTCTTAACAGGAGGTGTGACCACTTTTGGGCTCCTTTTATTCAGTGCACTACTGTCTAAGCTCCACTAAACTTAATGTTGTGTGTGTTCTCTGTTAACTATCGCAGGTTTAGTCCCTACGAGTG